GCACCTGTGTTAGTTCAACCGACACCTGGTACTGAATATACAGTTTTCAGCGACGCATCACATCAGGGACTTGGGTGTGTACTGATGCAAGAAGGTAAGGTCATAGCTTATGCATCACGGCAACTGAAACCTCATGAGTGCAATTATCCAACTCATGACTTGGAGCTAGCAGCTGTTGTTCTTGCATTGAAGATCTGGAGGCATTACTTATATGGCGAGACGACTCGCATATTCACCGACCATAAGAGTCTACAGTATTTGATGAGCCAGAAGGAGTTAAACCTTCGACAGAGAAGGTGGCTAGAGTTGATTAAGGACTATGACTGTCACATCGCTTATCATCCTGGGAAGGCGAATGTGGTGGCCGATGCTCTTAGTCGTAAGACTCTTGCTGAACTCCGCATACGACCTACGTTGGATCAGGATATCATTTCAGCACAACATCAAGATACCTTTTGTCTCGAGACACGTGAGCTTGTTTCCAAAGGAGAGAAACAAGACTTCTCTGTTCGAGATAATGGTACATTATACCATCGAGATCGGTTGGTAGTACCATCAGGTGATGTGAGAGATCGCTTATTGCGTGAAGCTCACGGAACCGTGTATACCATGCATCCCAGAAGTAACAAAATGTTTCAGGATCTGAAGAGACACTACTGGTGGTCAGCTATGAAAAGAGAGATTACTGAATTCACATCGAGGTGTATGACTTGTCAGCAAGTCAAAGCAGAACATCAGGTACCTACAGGACTCCTGCAGCAGATCACTATTCCTGAGTGGAAATGGGACCGTATTACGATGGATTTTGTAATCGGATTACCATTGTCCCCGAAGAAAAATGATGCGGTATGGGTTATTGTTGATCGTTTGACGAAATCGGCGCATTTCTTACCAATTCGGCGAGATTTTACACTTCAGTGTTTGGCCGAACTGTATATCCGCGAGATTGTCAGGCTACATGGAGTGCCATCGTCCATCATTTCCGACCGTGATCCCCGATTTACTTCCCAATTTTGGAAGAGCTTGCAGAAAGCTCTCGGTTCCAAATTACATTTCAGCACGGCTTTCCATCCTCAGACTGACGGACAGTCTGAGAGGACTATTCAGATTCTCGAAGATATGATGCGAGCATGCGTCATTGATTTTGGAAACACATGGGAAAAATATCTTCCTCTGATGGAATTTGCCTATAACAATAGTTATCAGGCAAGTATTGAAATGGCTCCGTATGAGGCACTGTACGGAAGGAAATGTCGTACACCAGTTTGTTGGACTGAATTGAGTGAGAGAAAACTCGAAGGTCCAGAACTCGTGCGCGAAACAGAGGAGAAAGTTCAGTTGATCAGAGAACGACTTCAGATAGCAGCAGACAGGCAGAAATCTTATGCAGACCTCAAGCGACGTGATATCGAATATGTTGTTGGTGACAGTGTATTCTTGAAAGTTTCTCCCTGGAAGAAGATTTTACGTTTTGGCAAAAAGGGGAAACTCAGTCCGAGGTTTATAGGTCCATACAAGGTTACAGAGCGTGTGGGACCTGTAGCCTACAGGTTGGAATTACCACCAGAACTAAACAAGATTCATGATGTGTTTCATGTGTCGATGTTGAGGAGATACAGATCAGATCCATCTCACACTATTCCAACAGAGACAGTCACTCTTGATGAGAATCTTTCCTATGAAGAGGAACCTGTAGAGATTCTAGCACGAGAAGTTCGAGTATTGAGGAACAAGACTGTACCCTTAGTTAAGGTGCTTTGGAGGAGTCACTCTATCGAAGAAGCAACCTGGGAAACTGAGGAGTCTATGCGATCTCAATATCCACAACTTTTCAGCGACCAGTGATCAGGTAATTTCGGGGACGAATTTTTTTTTTAAGGGGGAGAGAATTGTAACGCCCCGAAATTAGGCCTAAAAGAATTAATTAATTTAAAAATTAGTTCATGACTGAGGCAGACCCGAACACTGAAAAATAAAAGTTTCCAGAAAAATATTTTAATTATATCAAAATTCTAGTTTTGACAATCTGATTCCAAAAACGCGACCCGTTTTCAAAACGGAACAGTTTGGGCGAAAAAGCGCGTACCGTTTTAGCCAGTTTATCAGTTACGGAGTAGGAGAATATATTTGATTCCCCAAACCTTCCAAATCACGTAGAGACACTCCCCCCATCTCTTCCAATCCTCAATCAAACCACATTAGGACCCCACCACCACATCCCTCCAATTACTCTTCCCTATATTATTACCCTACCACCACCACCATCATCCTCACACATTACCACCATCATCAATCCATCATTCATCCCATCACCATCCTGTCCCTCTCACGGAAGAAACTCAGGAGGAAGAATTCTCAACTCCATTGTTGAGCCAAGAAGAAGAAGAAGGAGCAAGGAGAAACATCAAAGTTTCTAAAATCCTGAGTGAAAAACGCAGCAGCAACTTCTTCGTAAATTCTGAAATTCTCTATTCATTTTCTCGAATTATTTATTATACCAAAATCGTAGCCCCGGATGTTACGAATCCAACCCAACAAACGGTTCGTGATTCCGTTAAGTAACGAAGGAGATATCGCCAAAATACCGGGACTGCGTCGGTGGTGACGAGTTCCACGGGTTGGCTATGTTTTCTTCATCATATCCATATCTTTCATTCAAAGTGCTTACCATAAAACTCATATTTTCTTTTCCAATCATTCTCTCTTGTTGGAAGATTCATTCAAGCAAAGAAAAGAGGAAGAACTTCAACTCCATTGGTGAAACAAGAAGAAGAAATCATCATAAGTT